GATTAGCACTTTATTGTTTAGTATTTATACAATTAGCAATTGGATTAATTTCAATATGGAGTCAAGCATCTTTAGTATCAGTAAATTTAGGATATCCTAGATTTTTTAAAAGAACTCATAAATTTTTAGGGATCTCTTTGTTAATTGTTTCATGGATTAATATTTACCTTGGTTAGTAGAACCAATTTTTTCTTTGTGGATGGTATTAGTTTAAAATTTTATTGATCTGAATATTTGATATAACAAAATTAATTGTATATTATGAAATATACTGTATGTTTATTAGGCATGGTTACCTATAGTTTATCTTATGGAAAGTAAGTAGAAATATTAATACAAATAATAATTCTTATGAATAACTATAATAAATTCATCAATATACAATATATTAATTTTTTCAATCATAGGGATTTGTCACGTTATAAAGTACTATACATTGTTTGGATAATTTTCATCATACTAATATTTGTAAATTATGAATATTTATTTAATTTAAAAAATCTTAAATTTTCAAAATATATTAAATTCAATAATAATAATAATCATGAAAGTGAATGTGAGGAGGATAGCAGTGGTAATCAAAGAACAAAAATGACTATAATTAAATGTCTTGGTGATGAAAAATGTAATATATTACCAGAGTTGACATTGGATGAATTTAATGATAAAGTTCAAAGAGGTGTAAGTTTTCTAATTAATTGGTTGGGAAGGGGATGTGAGCAATTAATTAACAAAAGTTGAAACTTTGACATATGTAATTATTATTATTTTCAGGCACATTTAGTAATTTGTGATGGATTTGTTGTTGATATAAGAAAATGGATAGGTGTTCATCCAGGAGGAGCAAAAATATTGGAGAGTGTAATTGGAACTGATATTACTGATGGTAAATTAAAGATTTCTTTTTAGTTTTTTTTTAGTCACAAAATTTAAAAATAATTATTTTATCTCATATTAGATTTTCATGCAAGAAATATTAATGCCAACAAAGAAAACAACAACAATCATAATGATAATGAAACAATTAAACAACACTCTTTAAAACAAAAATCTTCTTCTTCAGCAACAAAATCAAAAATTAACTTTAATTTTAAAATAAATTATAAATTTTCAATTGCAAAAATAGTTGATGATATTAATAAAAAATATATGGTTAAATCTCCATTAGCATTTCATCCTCATAGTTTAACTGCCATCAAAAAAATGACAACAATGATAATTGCAAAATTAAATGAGAATATTAATGATCAATACCAGAATAATTATGATACTGATGACAATGTTAATGGTAATTGGTTTGTAAAAGATTCAGCAATTCATAGAATAAAATTTAAAAGATTTAAATTAATTAGTAAATCAATAATAAGTAACAATAAAAAATCACCAATTGTCAAATTTACATTTATTAGCAATAATAATGACAGTGATGATGATGGCAATAATAATAACAACAGCAACAATGATAATAGTAATATGGATTTGGATTATTTGCCTGGGCATTTTATTGAAATTCAGTCAAGACTTAAAGGTCAGATGGTAATTAGGAATTATTCACCAATAGATGGAAAAATAATGAAAAGTTTTAGTATTCTAGTAAAAATTTATCCAAATGGTCCAATGTCAAAACATTTAAATAATCGATTAATTGGATTTGAAATTCAAGCAAGAGGTCCATTTGATATTGGTGATAGAATATTGTCTACTACTCCTATCACTACTACTACAATATCGCCATTAACTGCAAAAACAACAAACTCAACAACATCTCTTCAACATCTTCATCTTCAGTATCATCAACAACTACAACAATCTCCTATTGAAATGAAATCACTTTCATTTTTATTAGCACCATACAATAATAATAATAATAATAATAATAATAATAATAATAATAATAATAACAACAATAATAATAGATTATCTAAAAATTATAATAGATTATCAAGTTATTTAGTTCCAATTACACCAACAGTTGCTACTTTACTATCCTCACCAATAATCAATAGAACTTATCTATTAAATAATAATGATGATAATAATAAATGTTGGGATAATTTATATATGATATGTGGAGGAACTGGAATTACACCAATGATTCAGGTAATGAATATGTTTTTAATTAATTCAAGCATTAATTTGGTAAAATTTTTTTCTAATTAATTATTTTTTTTTTTTAGTTGATAAAATTTCATTTAAAACATTATAATTTTAACAATAATAATAGTAAATTATCAATGCATTTAATATATGCCAATAAATCTGTTGATGATTCAATAGTAAATTTAAAAGATTGCTATTATCATTCACTTAATAACAATAACACTAATGATAACACAAATATTGATGATGTATTGTCAATTACATATATATTTGATAAATTACCTGATAACTTTTCTGCTAGTATTACTGGAGAGGGTGAGGAAGAATTACAAAGGATAAGAAAATCAGGGTTGGAAGGAAAAATTGATAAGGATATTTTAGAAAGTTGGTTCAAAGGTGGAGAAGAGACGTCTTCATCAACTTCATCAATTCCATCACCTTCACCAGCAGCAGCAGTAAAAGCATCATCATCTGTTCAACCAACCTCATCAAATAGAAAAATTTATAATACACTCCCAAAATTAAACACCAACATTCACAATAATAATAATAATAATAATGATAATAATTTACAAAAAGTTCGGATAGAAGGAAGATTTGATTTCATAAGTAGTAGACCTAATAGTAAAATTTTTGTGTGTGGACCTAATAGTATGATGATTTCAATTGATCAAATATTACATGATATGAATTTTAATGAAAATGATTATATTCTATTGACATAATTGTGTTTGGGATTTGAAATTTACAAAAAAAAGAAAAAAATATATACGTGTACATTAATTTGTCACCAGGAGGATTAAATCAAAATTAAATTTTCTATATATAAAGTTGGTATAAAACTTTCTTACCTGTAACTTTCTGATGTGTAAAAAAGTTTTTAACTTTTCCCATCTTTTATTTAAATTATTATATACAATATATTAAACAATTAAAATCCAGGTTTTTCCTTTATTAAAACCTAGCAAATGTAATGTGCAAATTGAATAACAAAAACAAAAAAATTTTAAATTAATAATTATGGAATTTTTTTTGGATGTTTCTTTCTATTTTAAAAATTTATTCAAAAAAGAAGAAATCACTACTGTCAAATTATTACCCCATGTGAAAAAAATGAATAAATTATATAGTAAAAAAAAATCATTACAATTATAATTTACTTGAGATCTAAGGCTCCCTATTGCATCAGGAAGGAATACTACCAATCGATTGATGAGTCATGAATTTATAATCACGAAGAATTCATTTGTCTATTTATTGTGTTTTAATTTTACACAGTGAATTTCGATTTAGCGGATTTCGATTTAACGGATGTCTAATTAAAATCTCGATTTAACGGATTGAGGCTCAGAACTAGCATAGTAGAATTTTGTTGTTACACGAAATTTATACAGAACCCATTGCTCCCGAAACTTCACCAGTATATGGTAGTTACCTCTCTAAATTGGATATCAAGCTCAGATCCAATTCAAATACAGTTTATCACTTACTTTTATTGCCAGAATGTTTGCCGTGTATTGTAAAGTTACATTGCACAATAAAAAAATTAGTGTAACATTTCAAATTTCCACTATGCTATCAGAACTGGGCAACAGGAGGGAACGTACTGGGAACACAAAATTAACAGGAGGGAACACAAAAATTTAACCCATGCAATTTTGTGAT